AGTTTTTGACTGTGAAAGAAATAAAGCTCTAGGGCCAGATGATTTTTTTTATGATAGTTTTTCAAGATTGTTGAGAGGTGGTGAAAGACGATCTAGCGAGAGTCTCTGCAAAATTTCATGGAAGGGGGATTATTACTTTGAGCACAAATGCGTCGTTTATTTGTTTGATTCCCAAAAAAGAGTTTTTAGTTAAGATAAGTAATTTTAGACCCATAAGTCTTGTCTCGTCACTCTATAAGATTTTGGAGAAAGTTTATCAAAGGGACTTAGATTTAGGGATGGCAATTTAAACCCGGCTCGACGGGGACCCGATCCCCCAATCCCGATTAGAACGGGTTTTCTCCGAAAATTATCCCCATAGGGTCGGGGATGGTATTAAAAATTAAATCCCCGATAATTTTCAGGCCGGGGACGGGGATAGGTTTCCTAGCCCCGGCCCCGACCCCGGTCCGGCCCAGGCCTAAGTAATCCCTATATAATCCCCGAATATATATCCCACATATATATAGATATATGTTTAGGTTATATATATATATATATGTTTAAGTTACTTTTGAGACTCAGTCACCTCTTTTCTCCATTCACACTCACCTCTCTTCTCTCAGACTCTCTCTTCCTCTCTCTCTCTCTCTCTATGCTGCGCTGCGGTGCTCACGGCGTCTCTCAAGCTCTCTCCCTCTCTCTCTCTCTCTCTATGCTACTGTGCTCACGGCGTCGGTGTCGACGTCTCCTCCTCTCTTTCTCACCGGCGTCACTCTTCCCTCACAGCGTCACGGCGGCGGCTCCTCTCTCTCTCACTGGCGGCAGCTCCTTTCTCTCTCACGGTGTGCCCTCTCTCTCTCTCACGTTACTCTCTCTCTCTCTCTCTCTCTGTTTTTTGATTTTGTCCTTCAGATCTGTGAGTTTTGGGCATCGGTGCCAAGATCCGAGTTGAGGAGTGAAGAGACGAATCTGGTGTATGCTAGGGTTTCGTCATTTCTACTATTGAATCTGTCGAGTATATAAGCTAGTGAAGAGACGAATCTGGGTGTGTTGTTGTTGATGATCCTCAGATCTGGAGCTGAATATGTATAATATGTTAAATCTATTGTTGTTGTTCATGAGTATTAAATTTGTTGTTGAATATTAAATCTGTTAGTGAATATCTGATCTAAAAGTGATTTTTTTTTTTTGGCCGGGAACTTTTCGTGGGCGGGGGTGGTGACAGGTTCCCCGTCGGGGACCGAGATCGAGACCGGGACCGGGACCGGGGACGGGGACGGGGGTATTTCCACCATTGGAGATCGGGGACGGGGAGTGCGATCCCCGGCCCCGCCCCACCCCGTTGCCATTCATACTTAGATCGACTTTGACTTAGGCCGTTTCTTCGGTGCAAGGAGCTTTTGTAAAAGGTCGCCAACTTTTGGATGTAGTTTTGGTAGCAAATGAAGCGGTGGAGGAGTGTAGAGTTTTGAAGAAGGAAGGCGTTGTTTTTAAGGTTGACTTTGAGAAAACCTATGATCGTGTGGATTGGCGTTTGTTGGATTTTGAAATGTCTAGAAAGGGCTTTGGAGAGAGGTGGAGGAGATGGATTTGGGGCTGTTTGTGTACATGTAATATGTTAGTCATAGTTAATGGGAAGTCGAGGAATTCTTTCAAGGCCACAAGGGGTCTTAGTCAAGGCGATCCATTGTCCCCGTTTCTTTTTATCCTAGTAGCAGATGTTTTGGGTAGATTGGTTGATAGGAAAAGAGGGTTAGATCTTGTAGATGGTTTTGTTGTTGGAAGAGATAGAGTATGTATCTCCCACCCTTCAATTTGCAGATGATACCATGTTTTTTTCATCAGGGGAGGAGAGTAGGGTGAGGTGCATTTTATTGCTTTTAAGGATTTTTTAGATGATCTTGGGTCTTAAAGTAAATTTGAGCAAGAGTAGTATTATTGGTGTCAACTTACAACAGAGCTGAGTTCAAGGATTGGCGGAGATCCTAGTGTGTTTCATAGAGAAGTTACCGATGAAATATTTAGGGCTACCTCTAGGGGGTAGTCCTAGAAGTGATTCCTTTTGGGCACCGGTGGTGGATAAGATAGGCAAGAGGTTGGAGGGGTGTAAAAGAGTTTTGCTTTCAAAGGGAGGGAGTTACACGTTGATCTATTCTGTTTTAAGTGGTATTCCTATTTATTTTTGGGAGACTTACATATAGGTCCTACTAAGTGGACTTATTGTCCAATAGGTCCTATGATAATTAATGGCATTTTTCATCATACACTATTAAAAAACGTTAGTAATTGTTAATTTTTAGTGACCGTTTGAAAATTGTCACAAAAATGTCACTAATTATAAGTTTTAGCGAAAGTTTAAAAAAAAAATTCACTAAAAAAGTCACTAATTTTCAACTTTCAACGACAATTTGAAAAATTAGTCATAGAAAAACGTCACTAATTGTAAGTTTTAGCAACAATTTTTAAAAACCATGACAAAAAGTCACTAATTGTTAATTTTTAGCGACATATGTAAAAATACGTCACAAAAAATTATTTTTAGCGGTGATTGTATTAAGACTTATTTTCAATAGGATTTAATAGGAATTAAGTCCAACTATTAAGACCTATTGGTAGTTTCACCGATATTTTTTTTTTATCTCTTTTCAAGGTGCCGTTTAGTATTGCTAAATCTATCGAGAACCTTATGAAGGATTTTTTATGGGAAGGAAAGAATGAGGGAAAAAAGATGCATTCTGGTGAGATGGAAAGTCGTCACATTGTCCAAGGATAAGGAAGGACTTGCTTTAGGGAACATTATAGCAAGAAATCTTGCTGTCTTCGGAAAATGGCTTTGGAGATTTCCTTTGGAGAGTGACTCATTATGGCGTTCTATTATCAAGAGCAAGTAGGTGATGGTAGGTCTATTCAGGTGGTTTTGAGGGGTAATTGTTAGTCTCCTTGGAAGTCGATATCTCATGTTTTCCCTTTTTTCTCTAGATTTTATGTCTAAAGGTGGGACATGGGGAGTCGATTTGGTTTTTGGGAGGATATTTGGGCTGGAAATTATTCTTTTGCTAGTGATTTTCCCGGTCTATATAGGGTTGCAAACTCATGGTTCTTCCATTGTGTCGTTGGCATGCTCTAGTTTGGCTCCCATTGTTTGGAGTCTTAGCTTTGCTAGAAATCTTTCTAATAGAGAGACTGGTGATTTAGCCTCCTTGTTGTTTTGCATTGATCATTTGTCTTTGGATTCTTCTTCGGGTGATAAATTTGTTTGGCTCTTACATTCTTCCGTTGTCTTTTCATATAAATCCTTCTTTGGAAAAGTCACTGAAAAACCAAACATACCATTTTTTTCCTCATCATGAAAGAATCTGGAAGTCTTTCGCACATCTCAAAGTAAAGTTTTTATATGGTCTTGTGCATTATGTGTAAGGGAGAGGGATAGAGTTTGAATCATTTTTTCTTGCACTGCTCAGTGGCAAGAAGTTTATGACAGCAGTTTTTTGCTTGGGGGGTGGCCCCTGAAGCATGTAGTTTAATGGTCTCTATTGATTTTCGATTCTTAGGCCTAAACAAAAAGGCCTTTGTTGGGACGTTGTGCAGTTTTTGCTCTTTTCTGTGTTATATGGTTGGAAAGGAATGCTAGGATCTTTGAGGATAAATTTACTGACGTATCTGCGATGTGGGAGAAAATCAGATTTCTTGCATCTTTTTTGGGCTTCAATTGCTCCTCCATTTAGGGGAATTCCACTCTTTTTTTCTTTCTTATTTTTTTATATTTTTTTATTTATTTCTAGCGATTGGAAGTCCGTATGCGATTTGTAGAATTTTTACTTTCACTTTAGAACCTCCTTTGTATTTTTTTTTTCTTCTCCATTTTAATAAAATTTTCTGTTGTTGCTGATCCAAAAAAAAAAAAATGAGGGATAATTAATCCCAACCCCCATGGGATTAGCTAATCCCTCTGCTCTAGATTAACCTCCTTTATCCAACAGTCAAAATCAATCCTGGAAATCTAATCGCCGAATTAGCGATCGGAAAGGAAGGCTGCTTTCATGTGCTGGAAGAATGGAGCTCATCTCCTCAGTGCTTGCAAGCCTTCTCATCTATTGGTTGGTGGCCTTCGTCATTTTCCTGTAACAAAGATATGGGAGGCTGGATACTTTGAACTGGACACACATAACACAGACATTTACCGACTACATACACTTTATTCATCTTAGACAAGTTTTGGTTGTTCTAAGTTGTAGATTTCCATGATTTGTAGATCTGATTTACTTTCATGTCATATTTTGGGCGCTGAAAACTATGTTTAATAGTATCAATAGTTAAGCACATAATTCACCTTTTTTTCTCTCCTTGTTCTTGGCAGTGCCCGGATTATTTCATTGTGGGCTATGGACTGGATTTTGCAGAATCATACAGGAACTTGCCTTATGTTGGGATCTTGAAGCCTGAAATGTACAAGTGATTTCCGCTGTCACATCAGTGAAGTGTATAACTATTTGGTTTTTATACCCCTGTGCAAAACCTATTCCAAACATAAACCAATAATTACACAACATATTGAAAGATGAGAATTCTAGATGATTGGGATTACATCGAGCATTTTTCTTCACTGCTCATGCACTTTTTGCAATAAATTTACAGCCTCATAGTAATACCATTGTAGTATTGTGTTTTTTATTATCTCTCTTCGTCTCTTCTTTTTGTGGCGACTACTGTTAGTATACTAGCAAAGATGAATTACCCGGCTGACGTTTGTGCATGAATTAGTTGAATATATATATATATATATATATCAGTGAAATTGTCTTCTTGCGTGCGTTGGGAATTTATTGTAACCTTTTATGTGGACATTGCAAAACCGGTAATTTATTGACATCAACCTGTGGTGAATTACAAATTCTTGTTACAGGATGATTGCTATCCTGCAACTTCACAAGAGTAAGACCTTTCCAGCCAACTTTAAACCCTAAAAACACTTCAACAAGACTCGTGATTTTCAACAACTTTGCACTCTTCAATTTTCATCATTTCCATGGGAAAGCGAGAGAAGCTTTAGCAGCAGGAACAATATTCCCAGCAGAGTCATATATAATGACCCCAGAAAAATCCGGGAGCTGGCACTTCCCACCCATGAGTATGTTCTTCTTCCAAACTGACAATTCACCACTTCTACCACACATGCTTCCTTCTTCGCCTCCATTGCCGAATTGGAACCCACGAATCATCTCTTCATTGTTGTGTTGTATGACAGGACCGTTGTTGAAGTTACCATAGCCATAGCAAGCTCTCCATTGGCGACGCCATTTGCGCGAGTGAGAGGCACATGCGAAGAGCGCAAAGGCACACAAGAGAAGGGTCGCTGCAACATAGCTGGATTGAGAGGAGGTAGATAGGTGGTGAAATAAGAGTAGCGGTCGAACCATGGTTGTTAAAGGTGTGGTTTTTTGTATAGAGTGAGTTTATGTGACGTATATATATACTAGCAATTTTGTGGTAAATGGGGTTGTGGGGATGTTGGTTATGGAGGATTTGGTAAGGTTTGGGTTAAGGTTTGACTCTTCGTACAAGTTAGAACTGTTTTGTGGTTTTGGTTACTTTGAACCTCTAATAGCTCGAAAGTGATATTAGCTGAAAAGTGCAAAAATCAATATGATTATTGCGCTGTTTGTTTCAAAGATAAATATTTTATTCAAATTTTCTTTTAGAAAATAATTTTATATATTTGATTAACGTACTAATGATTGGTGGTCGACAGAGGTGTTGGTGGTGATGATAGTGTGGTGACATTAGTAAGATTTTAGTTCAGAAAATGTTATTTGATTTTTAAAAGTGAAATATTTTTTGTTAAAATAAATTTATTTTCCAATGACCACGTAAAATATTTTTTGTTGCATAAAAAATCAGAAAATACAAAAATATTTTTTTTAAAATATGTTACATCTGAACAAAGAAAGTGTAAGATTCAATATTAGGTTAATGCTTTATATTCTTCTCCATCCATTTTTGGAGGTGAATGTCATTGTAACGCTCTCTATCTCACTTTTTTCTCAATATAATGTAGTAGTTCATTTTTTAGTGTATACCTGTAAAAATTATGTATATTGTATGCCTATTTATAATTTAAAGTTGTCTTCATTATAGTTCAAATGACTTGATAGGATGGTCAAATTAAAGTAGATCTCATCTTACTCCGGCTTCGTTTAGGATGTGGATTGATTTTTTGACTTTTTGACTACTTTAACCTGGGCTAAAAAGTCTCGTTTGGAACAGAACTTCTAGCTTTTTTGACTTTTGTGAAAGAAAAAAATGAAATGATTATAGTTTGGATGTGATATTTTTTTTTATTAAGTTAAAAAATCTATTTTGTTTTTTTTGTGACTAAATTAGCTAAAAAGTCAGAAAGCCTGACATGCCAAGCGAAGGCTCATTACTCAAAAGGTGTTTTGCTGACTTAAAATGGTTTTGATTATGACTCAAAAATAATAATTTAGTTATAACTCAAAACGGTATTATTTATATATCAAAATAATTTTGATTATACCCGAAATAGTTCAAAGTGAGTGCATATATGAGTATATAATGTAGATTTCTTAATTCAATACATACTGGATAAATCCACTCCACCAGAATAGGGGGAGGGGAGGGGGGAAATATGCAATCACTAATATGAAGGAAAAAAAAATAGAAAATAAATAAATAAATAAATAATTTAGCTTTGGTTTAAGGGTGTGAAGTTTTTCCTCGTTCTTGAGTGGATTCATAGTTGGTCGTTGTCATGAGGTTGCATGCTAAAGGGTAAAGCATAAGAAAAAAAAATAAAAAATGAAGAATCTAGAATAAAATGGAGTCATCAGGGTCAATACTAAAGCCTCGTTTGAGAACTCTCAATTTTAGCTAAAAAATCAAAAAAGTTACTAAATTAGCCAAAAAGTCAAAGATTCTCTTTTCTCTCTACTTTTTGCATATCTTTTCGTAAAAAATCAAAAAGCTATGCTAAACATACTAGTTTTTTTTAGCTCATATTTTAGCCAAATAGTCAAAAAATTATTAAATTAGCCTGTTCCCAAACGAGGCCTAACTCTCCATTTCTCTAAAATCTTCCATTATCTTTCATCTTTTATCTCTCTAATATTTGTCTCTAACTTATAATTTCTTCTATCTAGACAAACATCACGAACATTAAAAATGTATGGTCATGATTCGCTTGTACTATACACCCCCTTCTTATTGTAATTATAACTAGGATGCCTAAATGCTATAAAAAAAAAAAAAAAAAAAAAATTGAAACCCATATGAGGGGCCAAACAATTAAAGTAATTTTTATTAGAGTTTTTGGTCTAATGGTTGTGTAACCTTTTTTGTGGTATAAGATTGATATGAGGAGTTTGATACCTTTTATTTCTTCCTTGCATTACGTGATTGTTCCCAATCATCTACCGTTCACTAATGAGATCACATGCAAATGGTCTAACTAATGAATTTTTAGCATAAACAACCATTTACCATTAATAAGGGTTTTATTAGGAGGGAGAGACATAAGAGACCGGGTGCCTTGCTTCTGTAAAGCTTGATATTCATCAAGCATAGTTGCAGTTTATTCCGAAATTTTAATTGATAAGTGGTAGGCTCAACAAGAGAAAAAGGTGGACTAGGGAGAAAGGCAGAAAAACAAATAAGGACCTTAGGTGTATTAATACCACCTTTGGATCTGGTGAGGATATGATAATTGTTACCAGAAATTATAGCTAAAAAATAATGGTTAGAGAGTCTTCATTTTCTTAGTTACAACCATTTGACAAGAAGAAAAATGAAATGCAAATGGTCTAACTAACGATGACAAATTGTAACTAAAACAATGTGATTATATAGTTTTTCATTTGACTTTTTACCAACCATTTGAGGGCAAGAAAAATGAATTCAATAACACGTACTAAAAAAATTCACATAAGTTGTAAGGTATTTTATGTTCATTAAGACTACTCAAATCATCTAAAGTATTTGCAAATGGCCTGACAAATTGTGGCATACTATCGTCTCTTCTATTTAGTAAACTTGTACAATTTTTATCATAACTATGTTATTAGTTTAACAAGAATAAATTATTGGTTTAACAATGAATAGACATTTTTTCGAAAACTTGTACAATTTGTATCATAACATGTTATTAGTTTAACAATGGTAGATTATTGATTTAGCAATGAATATAACTTAATATTTTGATGACATACAACTTGCCATTGTGCATATGCCTGAAACAACCTTCTATGATGAGGTTGGTATTGGTGGTCTATGTTCTTTATGCACTTGGAAATAATATCAATGTTATAAGACAAGGGAAGAGTGTCAAACTGGAGTCAACATGGTGCAAAAAGTAATTGAATGTTAGTGTGTGAAACTAGTATTTAAGATGTATGGAGTAGAAAATGTTTGAGATGAATGCAAAATTATTATGGACAATCAATAATTTTCTGATTATGCTAATTTGTGGATTGAGCACGAAAGGAAGACTAGCTTGTACTTCTGTAAGATCAAATTGATATAATGAAAAGAGTTATTTTCACTTGTTACATAGGATATTGTTGCTAGTTGAAATGAGTTATGTGCTAATTTCTGTCTTTGGCATTGTAAATTGACTTAAAAATGTAATAGATTGATTGTTACAATTGAAGATCAAGGAAGAAAAAGGTGGCTAAGAAAAAATACAATAAGAAAGTTCAAGAAAAATGACAGGACAGTGAAAGTTAGACGGGCAAGACTAAGATAAATCGTTAAGTGGGCTAAAGTAGAAGATGTAGCGCTTTGCTAACTTGACTAGGTTGGGTGAATTTCCACTTCTTTCTTTTTGTCTTGAAAAGGGGAGTCATCAAGGGACTCTTAGTTCTTTCTTGGCGGGAAGAGGTAAAAAACTTGCTATTCTTTTTTTTTTTTTGCGCCAACCCTTTCCTTGTTTCTTCTAATATTAAAATTTTATTAAACGTACGAAGTATAAAATGTAATTTACTTAAACATTTGTAAGTGATTTATTCCGATGTGCTGAAAAAAAAAAAAAAAAAAAATTGTAAGTGACAAACCAAACCTAAGTAGTCTAACATTTCTTAAATATTTTCCCTAATCAAACCTCATTTTGAAGAGACCAATTCAAAATGTGAACCTCTTTATGAGGAGTTTGGCTGTGTTATGATTTTTGTTTTTTGAAAATCATAGAAAACTTATTTGGCGAACTATATTCACTTGGTTTTTCCCTTTTAGGAAGCATCATAAATTATTTTTGCCAAAAATAAAAACAATAAGAAAACAATGAGTCTTTCAAGCTTTGCATTGTTTATAACACGAAAAAAATATTTTTCAAAATTTTGAAAACGATTTTCATTCAAAAATGAAAATGATAAGAAAACATTGAATATTTTAAAACTTTTCAAACATGAAAAACAAAAACACCACTAAAGAAGGCCTCTACACTTCGCAGCTTGCTTTTGTTTTAGGTTGACAAAAATGGGTCTTAGAATTAAGAAATTTGAATTCGAGGTGTTGACGCTCCAAAATCACCAAACGGGGATTAGCGCGAAACTTGGCACACAAGGCCGCCTAGGCACTAGAGACTTGTGAGAGAAGACGGGGCTCGAATCGGGTTCCCGGTTTGGGAGTTAGAGCCAGATTTCGGTCTAGGCATACTAGTTCCTTAAGAAATCTGAATCCGAGGTGTTGACGTTCCAAAATCACCAAACGGTTTGCACACACGATCACTTAGGCACAAGAGACTTGTGGGAGAAGATGGGACTCCAACCAGATTCCCGGTTTGGGAGTTAGAGCCGCATTTCACTCTACACAAACTAGTTCCTTAAGAAATTTGAATTCGACGTGTTGACGCCCCAAAATCACAAAACGGCGTCGGGTTGGCACAAAACTTGGCACACACGACCGCCTAGGCACGAGAGACTTGTGGGAGAAGACGGGACTCCAACTAGGTTCCCGGTTTGGGAGTTAGAGCCAGATTTCACTCTAGGCAAACCAGTTCCATAAGAAACTTGAATTCGAGGTGTTAACGCCCTAAAATTGCCAAACGGGGTCGGATTGGCACGAAACTTGGCACAGATGACCACCTAGGCAGGAGAGACTTGTGGGAGAAGACGGGGCTCGAATCTGGTCCCCGGTTTGGGAGTTAGAGCCGGATTCTCGTCTAGGCAAACTAGTTCTTTGAGAAATTGGAATTCGAGGTGTTAATAACACAAAATCACCAAACAGCGTCGATTTGGGAAGAAACTTGGCACACACGACCGCCTGGGCACGAGAGAGTTGTAGGAGAAGACGGGACTCCAATCGGGTTTCCGGTTTGGGAGTTAGAGCCGGATTTCAATCTAAACAAACTACTTCCTTAAGAAACTTGAATTCGAGGAGTTGATACCCCAAAATCACCAAACAACGC